TAGAAAATGCTGTGCTGATTTGTCTCCTGTTCTTTGCCGCGCTGATTTAAATGTAACTTGAGTAGTTCAGTGCCTCCTCTTCCTCATCGCATCCCTCACTATTCCCTCCCAGCCCTCAAGAGAGTGCTGCTAACTATGGCACCGTCCAATTTGGCCAAGAGATTTATCTGTCAACCAAACGACGACAAACTGCTTGCCATTTATAATCGACTGCTCGTCCTTTCCATTCCTCCTAAGAGTGTTTCTAAAAAGACACAAAATTGCTGGAAGCTGATGATGACGGTGATTGACGGACTAAGGCCAAAGCTCACAGGCTCGAATCTTCTGAGCAGGAATTGCTTACACAACAAATATAGAAACGTTACTTTTTGAGAGCAGTTGCGTATCGTAAAATAAGTTCCAAAAATTTCATATTTCATTATTTCTGTTTTTGATGGAAACGTGCAGTCATTGCGCGGCCCAATTCTGGAACTGGTTTTGGCTTTTGAACTCTTTTTGTCCTTGAGGTGAGTCATACGGACAGACAAGAAACATATAATGGAGATAGAGATATTATTTATGATACACATAAAAATATGTAAAATTATATTAAAAAGGCTACATAAACGAAAACGCTTAGGCTCATGTTTTTTTTTTTTTTTTGAAAAACAGCAATCTTTTTCCTGGTTAATGGTGTTGTGTTTTTGCGGTTACTTGCAAAAAAAGCGCGTAAAAGCGGAAGTGCAAAAAACTTCTCGCACAACAATTATACCGTGCTCACAATAACATATTACAGATAATTGGAAATTTAAAATGCCTTTATGTAAAAATCATTTACGGAGTGCAAAAAAAAGCGGAACTTTGCTTTTTTTTGAACAGTAGTGACACCGCAATATTTTTTCCTTTGGCTCTCCCGCTCGTAAAAACTAGTTTAGTTTCTTATCCAAATTTGCATGACTTGTTCGATAAGTGCAAAAAAAGGTGAAAATGATCATCCTAATGCTCAGAATGTTTGAAATTGAGTGAGATTCATTTCACAACTGAAAACCCCTACAAGCAATCCTGAACACATTCAAATTGCAGCGATCCTTTCGCTTTCTGCAAACGAAAAATATCAAGAATGTCTGCTGATGGAGCGATCAAATGAGGATACGCCACGGCTTACCAATGTTAAGCGTCAACGGATTGTACAAGTACCTCTGCATGAACCAGCCTATTTGCACTGCATTATACCGCACTTGACTCAAAATTTGGTATGCTGGATAAAAAATATACTGAAATATATTAAACCACGTGAAAATGAGCGATCACTCGGTCAACCGCCGAAGAGATGACGCACATACATCGAACAAGCATTGGGTAATAACTGAAGGCATGCAGTCCAGGATCGAGGAACTGACATAGTAGAGTTCGGCATATGGTAGGATTCTAGTACGCCACTAACATGGGATCCCGACACTGTTAGTCCGGGCAATTTTGGTAATATGAGCCCAAGGTAGTATGAGCTCAATTTTGCCAATATGAGCCCTAATGTTAAGTCACAGCGTAAGGATCATTCCTGCTAATAGCGATCTGCGAGGTTAGTGCAAAAACGCATGATCGCACCGGATAGCCTGATGCGTTCCAGCCTGGGTTTAGGGGTGGCATGCTGGGGCACTTCAAATTTTCAGTTCTATTAAACTTCCTTGTAGCATTTTTCTCCCATTTCTACTCATGACTTTAGTTCATTTGGTCAGTTTACGGTAAAATATTTTTTTTGTTTCAAATTTCACCTGAAATCAGTCTGTGATAAAAATATCATCTTTTTCTGAATACGTCTCAGGTTGCATGGACTCGCCTTCGGGATGAGGCACTGTTGACAGCCGGCGAGCAGTCGTTTACGACAGATTCCAGGTTTCAAATATCGCTCAAGCCATCCGAGGCTGACTGGGTGCTAATTATTAGGTAAAAAATTGCACTATAATTAGTGGCTGTCTTTTTCAATTTATTTTAACGTGCAGTCGTTTCAAACGCAATTAGTAATTCGCTTAGCGCAGCTGTGCATTTATGGAGGAGACGAAAGAAGAAAAAAGAGAGGGGTTGGGTAGGAAAAAGTGAAAGGCTGCCCACACATTGGTTGTCTAAGCAGTGCTGCTGAAATTAGTACTTTTATCGGTATTATCAGGCGAGCTGAAAAGTCCGATTCTGGTTGCTATCTGTGCGAAGTGAACACTGAACCAAGAAGTACCGTTTACGCCGTTTATTTAAATGTTATCGGTAGGCTTTTTTGCTTTTATGCGTTTATTTTGCTATCTTTTTTCACCATCTGTAGTTGGCAGAATCATAAGGAGAAAGGGGTAAAGCGGCGGCTAAGTTCGAATAATCCCGAAGAAATCTGTCCTTGGAAGATTTAGTAGCTTTTCACAATTTTTTCGTCCTTCTCGAAAAAAAAGAAGCTTTGTTAATCGCTGCCGAAAATTAACTCCCTACCCTTGTTCGTTGTGATTATGCTGGGCAGAGAAAACGAGGTAAGGCATGAGTGAAAGCAAAACGGAGGAAAAAAGAAAGGAACATTGCTTTTCTTGTGGCAACGCTGCTCATTTCATCAGGAAAAGTGCAACAAATAGAGTTGTCAAGCAAAACTCAGCTAGAAATTGCAATGTTAGGACAAACAGAAACTAAAAATAGCTTCGTTGAAAAGATCTAAAAACGCTGTAGTTGGAGTCAATTTGCCCCAATTGCTTGGTAAAAATAAATTCGAACGAATGTAGATGCAGAATTTAAAAGTATTAATTTTCTTTTCCACATAATGAAAGCTGGACAGATAAACCATTAACCGAAATTACACTAAGAGTGCTTTTTACTCGAGACTTTTAGTTTACAAGGCTATTCAGCTTAGTGGCATGGAGAAGGTTCAATTTATTGTTTAGAATACGACTCTGTGTATTGAAATATTTCTTTCCAATTCTTAGTTTTTCTAATTTCATAATTCTCAACCCTTTCCTAATTATTCCATAAAAATTTCCTTTCGTTCTTTCAAATTTAATTTGAAGTCCGATTTAATTTTTAGACAGAAAATGATATCCAGTGAAGTTCCGCGAGTTCTTTAAAGAAAAATTTGTCTTGATTTTTTTAAATGAATTTTTCCACCACTTTCCAGCAGTTTTTTCAGTTTTCGAGTTTCTTCTACATTTTTCCAGACAAAATTCTATTCTTAGCTAGCTTTGTCTCGGAAAAATAAATAATTTAAGTATTATTGCTAAGATAACGCTGCCTTTGAATTCGCATTGACACGCGAATTCAGGGGCAGTGCTAGTTGCTAATGAAGGTTTTTACCGGAAAAACTCCAGTTATCAGAGATCAGTGTGTTTTTAAAGGGATTTCTGGTGACTGAATTTTAGAACAGAAACTTTTTAACGCTTTTGTGCTACATTTGTTTTATTTCAGAAACACGCAATTCCAAATCGCCTTCTTTGCCAGCAAGTAAATCTTTTCTGTGGAAAATTTATTTTTTACAGTATTTAGCAATTATATTTAAGGACTGCGCAGGGTAGCAAAATCCAAAAAGTCTGCTACGTTGTTCGGTTTGATGATAACCAATAAAAACAGCAAATTAATGAGTGGTACCCACGGAAAAAGTAAACGACCGCTTGAGCCATCTCAAGATGGTGCACACAAATCAAACAGGCGGTGGGTATTACCTGATGGTGCTGTGTACAGAACTGAAGAACCTATCATTAATTGCGTGCGACACATGGGAGTATTTAACATCACTAACATCGAACATCCACTCTGATGTCCGAGTAATCCAGGTATTCTTGGCACATTTACAGTATAAGGGGTTTGAGAATGGCGACTGGAAGTAATCAACTTAGAGTAAAACTGTTCCATCCAGGATTCCGCTGCACCTCACTAATATCTAGGGTTCTAGGCTTTGCAACATTTTTCCAGACTTTTAGACCGCTTTGGCTCTGAACATTCAAAGTTCCGTATGTGTTTGCTTCTGAACCATCAAAAACCAAGTTTCTAGACAAATCTAAACATTTCTCTGGGAAAAAACGATATCATATAGAAGGGGTGGCATCTGCATGTAGAAGATTACAGCTGTGCATCACTGGCAGAAAGGAAATCGAGGCAGAGGGTCATGCAGCTGTCCGTGACTCTCAGTGATATCGGTGGTTCCATACTGACCGCCCAAAGAATCCCGCTA